CTCTCTCTCTCTCTCTCTGTGTGTGTGTGTGTGTGTGTGTGTGTGTGTGTGTGTGTGTGCGTGCGTGCTAGTGCTTGATACTCCCAGTACAACTGTGTTCACTGGATGCTGATGTGGAGGAGGTGCTGTGCTCTTCTTGACCCAAATTGGGGGAGGGAATTTTGCGTGCTGGGTTGTTTGTATTTACGCGCCGCGACTATTGTCATGTCGCTACTGTTTTGTGCGCTGGAGGCATTTTGAGTGCGGAAAGCCCTTTGGTAAGTCCTGGCGCACAACCAGGCCAAAACCGTCAGCGAAGGTACTCGTTTGTGAGGTTGCCATGTCTGAGCGTTTGACGTTAAGGCGCCAGTAATTGCGGGCTTCGGGGCACCGAACCACAATGGCTGGAAGCCCCGGCCAAAATGAAAGCGAAATATTTACGCGCCGCGACTATTCTTCTTCTTCTTCTTCTTCTTCTTCTTCTTCTTCTTCTTCTTCTTCTTCTTCTACTACTACTACTACTACTACTGCCGCTTCTTCTTCTTCTTCTTCTTCTTCTTCTTCTTCTTCTTCTTCTATTCTTCTTATTCTCCCTCGTCGTCCTCGTCCTCGTCCTCGTCCTCGTCCTCATCTTCTTCTTCTTCTTCTTCTTCAGAACATCCTTTTTCGTCCTCCTCGTCGTCGGTGACTTCTTCTTCTTCTTCAGAGCCCTCTTCTTCTTCTTCGTCGTCGTCATCGTCTTTGTCGTTGTCTACTTCTTCTTCTTCTTTTTCTTTTTCTGCATTGGGTATGAGATCAATGCAGATGTTTTCTTTCGTCTCATTTTTTTTTTTTTTTTTGTTGGTGCCAATTCTACTCGCAGCATTATGGCAGGGAGGCCAGTGGCCCTCAGCTATTTCCCTGCTTCATTGTCTTCTGTCTCTTCTCCCTCCTGTTTTTCTCTCCTTTCCTCTTCCTCTACCTCCTCTTCTCTCCGTTCTCTTCTTCCCTCCCTCCTTGCCTCTCCGAATTTGCTTCGGCATTTTTTTTTTTGATATAGAGTGCCTAACGTCATTACATCCGTCGTGTTGTTCCATGAGGATTTGAACGTAGAGGGGTCGAATTTGGATGCCCCGTAGTACGTAGTAGTATAAGACTGGACTACCAAAATCAAGATTGGACTACCAAAATCAATTAACGCTCCTTCGGGACATACGTTAACATTGGAACGGCACGACATACATAAATCGTAAAAAAAACAATTGACGAGTGTTGCCAATTGATTCTATTCCGGCGCCCCCGTGGTCCCCACCTCCCTCCCCCCCTCACCCACACACACACACAGGAAAAGTCATAAAACCTCCCCCCCGCGACGAAACCTTTGTATCCATTACCCCCCAAACGGGGAAAAAGCTAACGCAGGTCCCAAAATCACTTTTGGTGCCAAAAAAAATAAAAAATAAAAAATTGCTTTTGGTGTCATTTTTCATTTTTGCACCCTGGCTGGGCCGGTAAAGGTCGCTGTGTAAAAATGGCGGGCGGGAAAGTGTTTTGCAGGGTGCAAAAACTAACGACGCCCAAAGTGATTTTGGGGCCTGCGGCACCTTTTTCCTCGTTGGGGGGGAAATGGATACAAAGGTTTCGTAGGGGAAAGGTTTCACGACATTTCCCCACACACAGAGGCAGAGTTGGCGGCGCTCCCTTTCTCTCCTCCTTGCTCTCTCTATCACTGATAATCACTCCCTTCCCTCCTTTTTCTCGCTCTGACTATATGAGTGAGTAGATCTCTCTCTCTCTCTCTCTCTCTCTCTCTCTCTCTCTCTCTCTCTCTCTCTCTCTCTCTCTCTCTGTGTGTCTGTCTGTGTGTGTGTGTGTCTGTGCGTGTGGGCATGGGTGGGTGTGGGTGTAATGGCATTCTACTCCCAGTACGACTTTGTGGGCACTATCTGGAGGAGGTGCCGTGCTCCACGGGTCCGGCACTGCTTCCCACATTCTCGCTGGAGATCATTCTCCGTTTGCACATTTGGAGAATGGCGGGCGGAGCTCTCTCTCTCTTCCTCTCTCTCTCTCTTTCTCTCTCTCTCTCTCTCTCTCTCTCTCTCTCTCTCTCTCTCTCTCTCTCTCTCTCTCTCTC